TGTCTTGTGTGTGCGGGGGGGTGTTGTGTGCAGCTGGCGTGTGTCTGTCTGTTCACGAACGGAGGCATTTTTGGTTTGGAAACGCGGGCTCGCATTCCCTGCTCTTTTCCACTGTCTCGCAGCACGGCTGTGCGTTCTTGGTGGACGAGGTGCAGACGGGAGGGGGCTGCACGGGCAAATTCTGGGCACATGAACACTGGGGCCTGGATGACCCGGCTGACGTGGTGACCTTCAGTAAGAAGATGATGACAGGAGGATTTTTCCACAAAGAGGAGTTACGGCCAAATGCTGTAAGATTTTTCAATGAAAGGTGAACTCTGTGCTCGTTGGTGGCCCGTTTGTGAGTAGCTGTCGTGCCCACACGACAGAGAAGCTCTCCACCAGCCACGCAGGCTCAGCTAGACGGAGCTGCTATTTCAGAGAGCCGCCCTTTGCGCTTACAACACAAAGTTGTTGTCACTGCCTCGCTTTTATTGCAGTCGCTGTCAGTCACAGAGGTCATCAGGGAGGTGGGAGGGAGTGGAGCGCTGGGCCCGGGCTAACGAACTAACCTCCAGGACAAACTCCAGCTGACACCCTCTTCCGTAGGGCGACCTGATGTCCTCAGAGCTCGTGTGTCAGCGTTCCCGATTCTGTCAGCAAGATTTCTTCTTCGCATTAATGACAGATGCAGTAAACAAGAAAAAAAAAGGGGGGGGAACATAAAACTTGAATGTAAAACCCGTGTAGATGATGCTGATGGTTCTGTGTCATCTGTAGCCATGTTTCAATGAGCTGTCCGAGCAGCAAGACAGGCTGCACTAAATTTGTAGCAGGAAGTAGTTGCTCCGTGATTCTGCTCAGTGGGGCAGCTGTATTCTGCTCTTACAACCAAAAACAGGGGGGTTGGTGAGATCAGTGTGTGCTTTTTCATACTCCAGATGTTTGCATTACCAGTTTGGTAGCTCGCTTTTCTTTATTCTAGTAATTTGCCTGTTAATGTGTTCCACAACTCTCTCCACCTTTTCCCAAGCCCTACCGGATTTTTAATACCTGGCTGGGAGATCCATCCAAGAACCTTATGCTTGCTGAAGTCATTAAGGTTATTAAAAGAGAAGACCTTCTAAACAATGCAACCCACGCCGGGAAAGCGCTGCTGACTGGGCTGCTGGATTTACAGGTAAACATCTGGAGGGACTGGAGACCAGAAGGAGAAATTTGCTGATCAGGTGGGGTCTGACCTAACCCAGTCTAAATGCTTGGACTGAGGAACTCCAGCTGGGAACCAGACCATAGTCAGAACTTGCTGGTTTAGGTACTGCAGGGCAAGCCTGAATAACTGTGTCCTGTTTTGACCTGAAGTAAACTTCCTGATGTAAGAATGCTGGTTCTGTACAGCTTAATCCAAAATCAGGGCTGACTCCCAGGATACCTGAAGGTACCAACTGCAGCCAGTTACCATGTTTTGCTGGCAGTCTCTGTTACCACAAGCAGCTAGCCTTTCCTTGTCCCAAAAGTTCTTTTTAGGGGAAGGTACCTTTGTATTTTGTTACAGTTCTGCTGGGCTGTTGAAACAAGAAGATTGTAGCTTTCCCGCCCTTGGCTAAGGCAAACCCGTTCGCAGCTTCAGCTGTGGAGCCCCACATCGGGCGGAAAGTCGGGCAGGCATTTAAGGGTGCTTGCCTCTCAGGAGGTGCTTTGTGCACCCGTGGTGCGGGGTAAGCCCAACCAAGTCTCTGCTCTCTCCAAAACTGCAAAGCACAGCAGGCAGGAGAACACAAAAAAATACAATCTTGGGACTTTGGAGGGCCAGAATACAACTAGTCCTGTCCAAAAGAGGCTACTCTTACAAAAGATGAGGATGTAACTGGCAGCAGGTGAAGCAGATTATACTAGCCAGCGCCTCATGCAGCGTAAGAAGGAGCTGGTTTCCAGCCCCCTTCCAGTCAGGTTATGCTCGGGTTTTCCTCGAGTGCATTTTAGGTGTAAGGTGCTGTACACGCGTGGGATTTCGCTTGGCCCGGCTCAGGGGTGCAGAACACTTCTCACCTCCTGCTGCCGCATTCACCCGCTCTGTGAGGAGAGCGCCTGCCCACGCTGGGCTGTGCAGCCCACAGCTGTGGAGCCCGCTGCCACAGGGTGAACGGGACGCGGGGCCTGGGCTGGGCTGGGCTCCAGCGGGGCGAGGAGGGGGCTGCAGGGGCTCCGTG